TTATACATTTTAAGTTTTACACACATAGGTATAATTATCTACATCATATACGCTTTAAGCTTTGCTAAACATGATATTATTTATAAATTAAATCTTCTATACAATGACATTCATTACAATTTTCTTCAACCTTTTCGGCTTTAGAAAATATTGAGACACAATTAATTAATACAATTTAAACATTTATAATTACAAACTGAATGATTATTATCCTCGCCATCTTGACAACATTTATAAAATTGTTTATAATTATTCACTCCTAATCATGATATGTTTCTGTTACACAATTGCTCCTAAACATTTTTCATTAATAAAATATTGCGTCGCACAACATGCCTCTTACGTGGTTTTATGCAAATGTTTTCTCTAGAAGTGTGCTTTGAATGTATGTGAAAATTATGCTTGTACATTGGGCTTTGAAATGCGTGTTATTTAATCACATTTTTGTTGGAAGGCTCGCTTTTATCGTCAAGTAATTTTCCTGGAATGAAGAATAGGTTAATTTTACCGATGAAATACATATCTTATCTGTCTTCAGGTGATCCGTCTGCTCGTTTGCCCCCTATTTCATAAAAAACTGAAACAATTACGCTTTTATGTTAGCTCTCCACATCCAATGAGGTAAATAGCTACATAACTATAAAAAACGTTGTATAAGTAAATATATGATATATAGATATGACATCGCTTTAATATCGTTAAACGATTATATAAACCAACAAACGATTAATCGTTTTAAAATCGGTACCTCAGAATACTGTCATCATACATTCGAGTGTGCAATGATTGCTGGATCATTAGACGTCGCGTCGTGTAACACAGTGCAGTCAGTGTGTGCAGAAACGGGCTAACACCACACGTCCCACAGCTTCAACCCGGCTTTTGTCTACTCTAACACGGATTTCGCTACTGTGGGCACTATTAGATAGTAGTAGGCACTATACATACCTACATACATGCATATAAGTCTTGGATAAGTTAGTCTCTTTTATAACCAATTACAAATAGAAAAGGAAGCGACTAATATTTTCCATTAAAGTTTAAGTTTAGAAGAGATTTGTATAACAATAGCAATATCATTCTTTGTATATGAAGCGGACAATGACAGATGTAGGATGATACGTCACTTTTAGACTTGTTGATTTTTTTTTTATAAAACGTTGCCCCACATTAGGATTTTCTCCTGTGTCGTGGGTGCTTTTAAAAACACAAACAAGTTTACATACACAATGACACCCAGACCCGAAACAACAATTTGTGGATCACACAGTGTTGTTCCGTGCGGGAATCGAACCCGCGACACGTTGCACGGCAGCCGGCTGCTCAGCCACCACACATACCGTGCAGTCAATATAAAATTGATAATATTAATATTATCTGTATTTCGTAGGTTGCTTTGGATACACGATATCGTTTTATTATACAGCGTGGTTTTAACTAACTAATTTAAACTGTCAAACACCAAGCGGTCACCGGTGACCGCGACCTATTGTTCTTTAATTGTGTCTATAAAACCGGTACTCGACGAGTTAAATCACATGCCCAAAAAAGTATTCAATATCACTAAAAGTAGGTACCTATTTGACCTAACAACGGTTGAAGTATACTAATCGCTGTGTAGCGCTAAGTATGTCAACACCATTGGGCACGACGCGTTCCAAAGTGCTTTCGCACAGCTTTGTCTTTGCTGGCACGATTGTACCACAGTGCAAATATACTAGAAGTATATACTGTGAAGTGCTTTTTCTGAGGGCCGATTTTGAAACGATATTTTTACTCCATTATACTTGTAGGCATACAACTACAGGTTCTATGAGTTTTAAACGTGATTGTAATAGTCTAGTCGCATAAAAGGTCAAATATATGCAGTTTTAATTTAAAATGACACCAAAACTAATCAGATCACAAATATACCATTTTCTACCACTGCTACTGTTTCATGTCCTCTATAAACTCCAACGAGCGACACTGCCGTCTAAAAGAGATGCAATTTTGTGATAGTCCGACGGCCATGAGTTCATACGAGTAGTTTCTCACGATTATAAAATGAACACTTATTTAGCTTAAGCATAGAATTGATTATAAAGAATATTTTTTTGTATATTATTATTCCACAGAGAGGCATTGTTTATGCGACACATTTTTCACATATCATGTACATAGCAAGCATCTTTAGGCGTTTACACACGGTCTTTTTTGAACGAGACGATAACGCACGCGTGGCGAACTTCAGATAATATTTATGTCGTTTATTAAACTTTATTCTGACTTATCGTTTTTGTTTTTCGCTTACGTAAATTTTATACTAGAAAAACGTTGTAGATATAGCTTATATCATCATTCTCAAGATATTTGCTCAAAATCTGAGTGTATTATGTAAGTCAGAACAACGTCTAAAAGAGGGCATATTATATTTTATGGAATCAAGAGTTATTTCTAACGAGATTCAAGCTTTATGACTAAGTTCAAAGAGTTGAATCTCGAGTGACATCTTTAAATGTCTTAAGTTCGCTTTACAAGTTTCGTGCATTATACATACCTCAAAAAGTTTCAATGTGTAGGCCTCATTCACTTCAATTCATTTCACTTCATCGATATGTTATAAATCAATTGACATTTTCGCAATATGTGTAAAATTAAGTATCAAAATGATACACAAAAATTATCTTAATATTTTACAAAGTCTACATCATTGAATTAGTTTATCGTTAACCAATTAGGGATAGAGTTGAACAATTTTACGATTGTTAAACTGAAATTATAATACAGAAAATGTATTTTTGTATTTCAGAGCAAAATACAGTTAACATCAATTTCATTTTGCCTAACATAATTATTTAATTAACACTACAAGCAGTATAGAAATATACCAAAACATTTTGAAATAATGACTTTGAATTACTAAGTCACTTCTTATTTATAGTTACATATATACTACATATTTGGGTACATCTATATACGAGAATTCCACAAATTACTTAGTTTAGTAAAGAAAAGAAAATACAATCGCTCATTTTTGGATAGATATACATTCTACTGATATACGATATGCACAAGCCAATTTAAATTTTTTAAAGTCACCTTTATACTCGTAATATGTGACTTGTGTCATGTTCACTGTTGGCTTAGCCATTTACAATTATATTACATTACAAAATGGACATGGGCTCTCTAGCAATTGATAGGTGGATGTCAAATTGGGTCATTTACATATCTATCTTTCTAATTCAGTCTCATATTTGCGCATACATAAGTTAAAGGGGTAAATATACAAAGGATTAAAAGAAGCATTGCGAAGCTCATTTATAAATTAATAAAGTTAAAATGTATCGAAAAGTGTCAGCCATTTTGTTAAATATATACGGATATATATGGTTCGGTTTTTATTGAAATTTTTAAAAACAAAATTTGAAGCAGTAAGTATACTTGACTTTAACTTTCATCAGATCTGGTCTAAAGAAATATTGTTTAAACTTGACTGTTTTCTATGATTTTAAACCATATTTTTTTCTCTGTATAGTAAAATAAACCGTTTACATAAATATCAATCTATATAATCCAAAGATTCTAAAAAGCACTGAATTTCCATTACTCAATTTATTTTATTATTTCACTTTAAAAGTCAGACCCAAAAACTGTTAGTTTTATTTAACATGTATTCATTTTATTTTAAATCGATTTATGTTCTTTATCAGGAAACAGTTAAGTTACGAATATCGATAAAGTCTGATCCACTACAACAAATAAGCCCATTTTATTTTATCTGAGTCAAGTGATAATTATATTTTTCACTGCTTATAAAGTTCATTTTGTTTTGATATGAGTCATTTCTAAGATTATTATAAACAGGGTAAATTCAGATTTGCCTCATTCAAAGTTATTAGAACAGATTCAAATAGCGATTAAGCGAATTCAGTCGACTATTGCCGCCAATTGAGTTGTTACTGAACTTTATTGTACGGAAAATTAAAATGTATTTGTTGGTCGATTTCACCATTTTATTTGAGTTATTTTGGTGAGAATTGAAGGTGTTTTATACATGTATAGGTATTCATTTTACGTCTTTTTTGTTTGAATTTATCTTTAAGTTATAGTGTTAATGTCGGTTTTAAGTTAACACTTAATTTTTATAGTTTTGTATTTTATTAAGTTTCTATTTGCACATCACATTTTGCACCAATAGGCATGTATTTTAAAATATTATGGCTTGTTCTTACGTTGCTATAAAGCTAAAAGAAAAATAAAATAAAAAAATAAACAAAATTATTCTTGTTATTCTTACAACGTTACAGCAATTAAAAATACATTAATATCGACATGTTCCTTCATTATAACACCTGTCAAATTGTAACGTACGGAACAAGTTATTAGAGGCACGCAATCAAACGTCACGTTGTCGTAGAAAAATTGAAATTAATTTCTTAATGGAAGTTTTAATCCAAGAAAATTTATAGGTACAGGTTTTCAATTGTATCAATAATGAAATTATAATTGTGTACTTTGGAAAGTACTAATAATATTTTGGCTTTATGTTCACATTATTATTTTAATTACAAATATTTTCTTCCCGCGTCATTTATAAAGAAAATAAAATAAGTGATAAAGGTAACTAAATCATATAACTTCAGCAATTAGCACCACAGTCAATTCACTTTTCACAAACAATTCTGTACCCAGTTACCGTACTATACCTTACTAAGCTCATAAAATACGTACTAGTAACATTCGTTTGTAATGTTCATTAGAAATGGGGCGATACAAATATCAAACATCAAACATCAAGAATGATGTGCATGCGAGTAAAGGCTTCCACATTATTATTGCTCGGCGGGTTTTAATGCAGCACAATCTGTGGCGAATTGAAGCCATTTGATACGACCACCCGTTTGCGCGACCTGCCCTCGCAATAATATGCCTTTATGAAACATTTACTGCGAACCATGAACCTTAAATTACATGAGGACAAATTTGACAGATGTTATGTTTTACAATTTACGAGTTTAGGTATAAATATGGCACAAAAATATCGCTAAAACAACTAATAAACGCTCTACGTCACATCGAGCCGATAAATTAAATTGCGAACTAACGATTTTGACAGGCAGCTGAGTTGGCGCCGGTTCGATGCGAACCACGTTGACTGAAAAAGAAAAAATGGTTTAAAAAATTGTGGTGTGATTTTTAAGCGCTGGAAACGAGGGTAATTTATCCAGGATGAAATTTGGCTACACATGTCCGCGACTTAATTTTAAGGGCTCTGTAATAACTATATTTCCTCGTTAAATTTGGAAATGTCTATTTTGCATAATTGAATAATTTCATCAGTATAAATGTAAACATACATCTCTTTCTAACACAATAACTTCTCTGAACTGTGATGTATCGACATGCCCGGTGATGTATTTAATTTGAATTTGTCACACGTGATCGGATTTTGATTACGTCACGAATTAGGAGTGATGTTTAATGATTAACGCTCACCCTTGTTTCATTTCCCAAACGGTTTTCATATTTTTTTCGGACATTCTATTTTTAAAAGAAATTCTTTTTTATTGTACAGATTACCACAATAAAGAGCAAAAAGTCCTTATCCCAAAACGCTGGTGTGTTTGCATTAATTAAAAATATGCAAACAACGTAAGTTTAAAATTAGAATCCTTTAAAATTCGGTTCTAACTTCAGAACGTTTTTACAAAGCGATGTTTGAAATTAAAATATGCCCCGGACTGCTTCAACGTTTGGTAGGGAATAAATGGTTTTTATTTAAAATAAATTATAAAAATTATGTTTCATATTGAAGCGACTTCATTCATCAATCAATGAATTATACGATTTTTGACTGATACCCAAGTAAAAAGAACCATTGGGTAATCTAATCACTCAATATTCAAAATTACACCTTTCACCTGTAATATTAAGACATATTTTTGAAAAACCCAGAGTTCCACACCCAGAATCATAATTCAATAACTAATTTAACATACCTGTGACAGTACTATTCTGTTTATCAGCAAATCCTTCACCCTCGCTTGCGTAGCTTGGTATGGTGCTTAGACAGGTGATCTCCACAGTCCGGTTGGGGAATAGTTGCAGGCTGGGCAATGGAAAGTGCAGTGAGGTGTTCGTCACGGATAACGGTATCCCGTGGTGATGACGATGGACCTTCATCGTTCCGTACGGGGTTGTTAGACTTTCGTCGACCTGTTAAACAAAATTAAAGATTGAGTAGGTAAACATTTATTTTGTGGGCGGTAGGGATGACTCTCAATGCCTATTAATCCATAGTCCTAGGTATGTTTGCTTCGAGAGCATTTTTAGTCTCTACCTAGTTAACCTAAAAATTGTTGAAAAACATTCTAGAATGTTCTAAAACGTTATCTACAGATAAAAACAAGACCTTTAACCAGACCTTTGATCTTGAGTAAATAAGTAAATAAATAAGTTCATGAAAATAGACTTAATTTATTCAAGAACCTGAAACCATTTACTTCAGTATTTCTATAAATACAAAGTACAAATGAAGTACACCTACGCTTACTCTTAGTAGTTATTATGGTATTTGAAACTGTAATTAATTTACAAATAGGTTTTATTATCGCTTGAATTATTTTTGATCGATAAACTGATTATGTCTAAGTAGTAAAAATACAAAAGTTTAATATTTCAATTTTAAGCTGTCTACAAACCAATAGCAAAACTGATCTATATATATATTATATAAATCGTAGGTAAGTTATATCTAAAGCGTAAATGCGATATTTTTTAAATTAATGGATACTCTGAATCATTAGCACCTTTGTAATATAAAAAGAAAATATTGCTCTCATTGATTAGCTGTCTTTTAAAACTGTGAGGAAAGAGATTGACAAAATTAGTTATGAGGTCACTCATTTCAGGTTCTCGTACAAATGTACCGCAAGAAACACGGGCAATAAGAAGCCTGAATTACCTAGGGGATCGTCGAGTCAGATGGAAGTTGAATTTGATAAAAGCCTTACGGGCGAACCTAATAAGATTACGAAAATACCGGGATGGAGAAAGAAAATGCCAGAACGTTCGATTGGTTGAAAGCGCGATTGGTGAGCCGGTGGTTTTAGCTTCAATACTCGAGTAAAATATCTATAAGTGGGTTTTTGTAGAAATACGTATTACACGTGTCCCTGATTATGTGAAGAGAAATTACGTTTAAATGCCATAGTCAGAACTCACTAAAACACATTAAAAACTAATTTATCGACTTTCAATTCAATGACATAAATTCTGACTATATATGGAACAATTAGCAGCAATTTCAAACAATTTCTTAAATACTAAAACTAAATGAAGTAGAAAACACTACATTGTATAGTTAATATCTTTCGGAAACGGTCAACCTCAAATTTAGCCGTTCTTGGTGTGGCTAAGCGTTTCCTTTAGCCACAAACCAAGGTTAATTTTACCAAACACGCGATACCCTTTAGTTTCTGTATTACGTAGCGTAGGTACATAAATCCAAGTCATTATTGATGTTTCTTCCAATTTATGTTAAGTTGTATTGTTTTAGCAGGTATAAATAAGGATGTTTGATTTTAAATATTTGATTGTTGGTTGAGTATGACATTTCGGGTTTTTAAAAGCCTAGATTAGGACGAAACAAAGCTGTAAAAAGTCTCCTTTGTTTCCACTTTTCATCATGTTTGTCATCTGTTCTAACATTGGTCTATTCACATTTTAGTAATGAACTCCTTGAAACATCTGTGAATGTAGATAACCTAATATAATAAGCAAGTCCCTCAATATTTTGAAACTTTTATGGAATTACCCGAGTCAAATGAAGCACGTATTGTATTACCCTTTATTGCGTGGATGTAATACAACGCGGAAAAATGGGATTTTACTTATACGACACCCAATTTTTCAACATTATGTTACAGTAATTTTTGTGGAAAATATGTGTGTTGATTATTATTATTATTGATGTTAATGTTAACGTAAAATTAACGGTCCCGTTGGAGTTAAAGTTGTGGGAATTATGAAGATTTTAGTTGAGTCTCTGTGTTAAAGAAAAAGGAACACAATTTTTTTCTGGGGTCTTACCTACTTGATTACGTAATTCGATATAACTAACTGTCTTAGAAAAACGTTACCATAAACTGTTGGTTCTGGGCCCCCGGAACTTTATATAATTTGTACAGTTCGTTTTATCATAATTTTACGAATAACAAACTAACAAGGTACTTGCAAAACAAGGACCTATTTCTAAGAATATGATTATCATCTTTTAGTTAGCTAAAAGATAAAACTTTTCTTCATTAAATCACATTTCTCCATCATACAGATGGAATAGAACTATGAATATTCCATAACGCCTTATTAAAACAATTTTAACAAACTACTACGTAGTACTATGCCATGAAACTTCTGTAGATTTAAATGAAAATGGCTGATTAGTATTCAAAAATTCGTATCATACCTGTGCAGAATGATCACATGAATATTTATGAAGTCAAACTGCGAATTCAATAGAGATATTTCGATGAATGATTTTGAATTTCATTGTCGATTTGATAAAAGTTTACAGATGGCGGCTGATTTGTTACGGAGTTAAAGGGTGAATTTGATTCAGAAAATTATTTGTATTTATGTTTTGGTATCTCATTCGTACAAAGCGTTTCCCATCGAGTTTCTTTGTGTAAACCGCTAAGGTATGGAATTCTTTACCGGAATCTGTGTTTCCCAACTAATACAACTTAGGTGTCTTCAAGTCCCAAGTGAACAGGTGGCTCATAGGTAGGCGTAGTCTATTGATAGCCACATCTTGGCACTTAACACCAGCCGAGATGGTGACCAATATCATCCTATCAAGTATATAGAGGTATATCAAGAAAAATAGGTATGATTAAATTATGACACACACAACTTTTTATATTTCTTTGGAATTTAAAAAGACGGACCTCTGAGTTTGTATCGGCATGTCTTCTCAGAGTACCTAGTCACTTAGGAAATGGCAAATATGTACTTAGGCACTACATGTTTAATAGAGACCAGGCAGCAGTTCCTACTCTCTGATAACCTTTCAATATGCGATCTTTAAACCTTCTACAAAGCGCGAAGATTATGACAAACTCCTTTTTAAGATGATGCTCATAGTTTCACGGGCTGCTGTTTTTAATGATTGAAATTTTGAACAAAATAATATTAAAAACATTTTCGTGGTAAAAGTGGTTATTCTTGTATGAAAAATGAGAAATGAGCTTGCTATCGTAGTAGAACGGTGTTTTAGTCAGAATGTAGCTACTAAGTATTAGCGTTGCAACATTCTCCTGGGATGCTAAAATGACGTCATCAGTGAAACGTATGATAGCGATATTATGTTCATAAACATGGCAAAGCGATGAGAATAAATAGGTTTGCATATGGGTAACATGTAAAATATTTGATGTTTTTTTACAATAAAGAAGATCCCTTTTTATGCTGGCATCTAGTCTTTGTAATGACGATAAAAAGTGATAATAACTATTTGTTGATATGATTTAATTTGAAAAGAAAAGGAGAGGTTTATCTAATAGGACCTTTTTCTACAAAATAATATTTTTTCGAAATGCATTAAACGATAATTTTCTATGAAAGTTGTACGTTTTCTGGCATTTCTATATTCGGGTAAATGTAATGTAACATTGTGTCATTCATGGGAAAATTAACGCTATTTGGTATCATAACATAATTATAACAATGACTCATGTAAGTATATTGTATATCTATCAAACACTATTAGGTATAACAAAAATATCTCACACAATGAACGTGAACTTAACAAAAGACAGAATTACACTTCTAGTTTGGAAAGTCCACTTAATACTGGCTAAATATTCTAGTAACATTTCAAGGGAGTGTCGACCTGTCGAAAGCGCACGAATCTTCCATTAGACTGTCAATGAGTGACCTCTAACACTGAATTGAGCCGTCAACTGGACGTTGGACGTTATGACTGAACCAAAGCGCACACGTTATAGCTAGCAATAAATGTCAAATGATGAAGTGTGGACGATGCTTTAGTGGGATCAGGATTGTAGGATGTGACATTGTGCTTTGCATTGAAAGCCCAACTTTACAAAGGAAGGAGTTTTTTTTTATTCACTTCTTTTTATAGTTATAGGTTAAAATAGATGATATAAAATTATAAATAAATATGCCGATGATTTCGATCATGGTGTTAAGTCTAATTAGTCTAGCTCACTGTGCATAATTATAAAATTCTCAAAACGTGTTACAATTTCACTATGAATGAGTTGAAAATAGATTTTTACTTTACATTTTACGTAAATGGTTTCCAAAAATAGTTTATTCTGTTACACGTAAGTTAATTTTTTCCTTTTCGGCGCACTAGCACTAACTTTAACGTTGTATTTTTAGGAGCTCCGACTCTGCTCGTGGTTGCACAATCAATATACAGCGACATGAAACCAGTTGAAATCACTTACTCGTTGGTACAGTATGATGTGTAATGTTTGGACTTTCTGTTCTGTTTGATACTGGATTTCTTATTTCACTGAGTTCTGGTTCGCTGGGCGGTAAGGAGAAAGTCTCTAATGAAAGTGGTTTTGTTTCCAGAAATTTCAGACCACAGGAAATATAGTTTAATAATTTTGACATTTTAAAATACTTATTTAATCCGATCTGAATCACATTTAAGATTCTTTGTGCGTCAGTAATGCATACGACGACCAATTGATCACCGAAGCAGTTTACCTAACCTTACACAAGTCAACAAAAAGAAGTCTTCGGAAATTTATTTCGCTAAAATATTTTGAAACAACGTGACAGTGGGTCTTTTACTTATTTCTTTAACTGGGATCAGAAACTTACCTTGTTATTATTTATAAACCAGGTGAGGTGCGGTGCGGGGTGAGCAGGGCCACTCTGACATGTCGCCTCCAGTTGGTCGCTCGAAGATAACTTTTTGTGCTTTATTTTTATCTTTGGACGGTTTTTCTGACGAACTGAAAAATGTATCCAGCATTAGATTATTACTGTTAAAAATTCCTGTTTATGACAGGTCAGGTCTGATGTAGGTGTATGTTAAGTTTGTAACGAAAATAATGTGTTGATCGTGTCCCAATGACATGTTAACTATTTTCTTAGACTTCGGACGTTGTCTAGGGATTTGAAGGTCTATGACATTAAATAAATGTATATTGTAAACAAGATTTGACTTTCTGCAAGACGTATTGTATATTTCTTGGAAAATCAGGTCTTCAGTAAATTACTTGATACTCTGATTCGTAGAATTTGAACAAATTCCACTTATTTCTTCAGAAAGTGACTTGAAGCCTATATTTTATTAATTTTATCATTATGTCTTCTATGAATTATTAACTAATTGCTTACTTGTCTGGATTACTCACGAACTGTCCAGTTAGCACGACGCTCACTGTGTGGGTGGCTTGAAACTAGTCGCTTAACCTCGTGGAATAATAACTTGAGTAAGCGATACAAACTAATAATTGTTATTATTATTAAAAGACTAAATAAACTCACCAATGACAGTCAGTTCATGTATCTTGGACACTTTGGAGTAGAGAGGAGTTTCAAGAGCGATTTCGCAGGCGTATGGACCTGATGCTGAGAAGTCCAGCCTCTCCAGCGTGATCGACGTTGGAGACAGGTTTATGAGCTGAGAACAAAAATATCTGATTAGTATTTGTGTAATTGGAGTTAGTCAGTCTGTTCTAAAATAGTTATTTCAAGTTCTGACCTGGCATTGTTTTCATTGCCAAGCAATGAAAAAAAAAATCTTATTAAAATACATAACAATACAATTATCTTTATAAACACTAAAAAGACTATAATTGCGATGTCTAGACAGCCAAGACGAACGAAAAAAAAAATAGGTTCTAGTTAAGTCTTCTTAAGCTTTACTCGAGTATCTTCATAAAATATTTTTTACTCTCTAACGAGGTAAGCGAAGATGTCTATGGGGGTTTTAGAAATAAGTAGGTAAATATGTTTGCAATTCCACATTTTAGAACTTGGAAATGGTCACGGTTTATATGACTATAGAATTGAGTAGCTATTCGTCCGTTCTGTTACGATTACATCTAGTATAAAAGTGGTTACACCAATATGAATCACAATGAAACCAAATAGGTACTTAGACAGTCTCTAGCATCACATATACCATGTGCGATATTACACCATACTATCATTAACAACGGTCACAATAAATAAATAAGTTTTTGTATATTGTTTGTTCTGCTTGCAGCATTTTAAAGCGTTTGTGGTCGACCCGAGAGAAAGGCCGCTAAGGGTCCCCCAAACTCCGAGAAAATAATATTTACGCTAGTTCAGCTAACGAGAAATGTACCGTAAATTGTTTGTTTATGTTGATTTATTTATATTTATTGTTTTGTGGTGTTCCAGCCATTGTTTCCTGGAGTTTTGTTCAGGATTCAAGGGTAAACCATGGATTTATAAGGTTTATTTATGACTCATAAATTCCGTGGTAGAGTCAGGATAGATATTAATTTTAACTATTCCTATTTATAGGATATCTTGTTCCTTTTATTTGTTGTTTCGTCATACAATAACTAAGATTGTTTTGTTTATTTTTTAGCCAGTAATGAATTCTCATCAAGAAACTATATCAAAATGACTGGTACTAAAGTATTGGATATGACTGAAAATTACTAAGGAACTCTGTCCACGCTGCGCCATTTGACGAATGCATGTATCATCCTTCTCAAACATAGGCCTTCTTTACAAATAGGCCGCCTACAAATGACAAATGCTGACATCTTTTTTTAGAAATAATTAAAACAGTCCACGAAGTAACAATGTTAAACCCGTTTTTGTTTGTGTTCACGTGTGAAGGAAGCATGCATTCGTCAATTGACACAATGTGGACAGTTAGCCTTTTTTTGAGGGGGAAAATCATCCAATGACTTCTCACGCCCGGGTGAGGCGAGAGGGAGTGTCAGACTCTTACTGACTAAAACCTTCCCCGTAAGTCTTCCGCGGCTCCGTGTGGACAGTTACCCTAAGATTCAGTGTCAAATCTAGTAGAGTTGCAAATGACAAAGTAATCCAAGAAATAGGAAAAGCAAAATAGAAAATACAATACAATATTCGATAAATACAACATCAACGTAGAAAACAATAAACAGTTCTTTACGACTTATCTATTTACTTACGCTTGTACTACAATTTTCGACAATAATATCGATAGCTCAAAGACATATCAATAAGAGAATATATTTTGCCAAGTTTTTTTGATATTCTCTTATTATTTATGAAGTAACAGGATGAAGGGTATCAAGTGACACTTTCAGAAGAGAAATACGCGAATAAGTTTGTGAAGTTATTTGTTCTTGGATAAGTTTCACGCACTTTGATGTTTGATGAATAGGAAAATAAATTGATAGTTCCGTAATATTACTCAAAAGAAAAAAAATATATGTGCTTTATACAGTTAATGTACTTTCTAAGATTATTTAGGCACCAGTGAAGGAAAACATCGTGAGGAAACCTGGGATTATAATTTCCAATTATAAGTTTGAAATCGCCAACCCACATTGAGCAGGCAGCGTGGAGATTAATGCTCAAATCTTCTCCGTCTGATGATAGGACTTTATTCAGCACTGGTACTTACAGGCCGTTGGTCAATGTGATGTACTTAATGGGGCTAACATTATTTTGCTCACCAGATAACGCAAGTGTAGAAAGGGATTTTTAGTCCAATCACAGCAACTGTCAAATATTAAATGTCCAATGATATGCTAACTAAATTCACTAGCTAAATTTCCTATTGGATGAAGAACGAGGTTTACACTGGCGAGCAAAAATACGGTAAGCCCCATTATTTGTGTTTCCCTGAAATTTCGTGGAACGTTTTGTGAAGCTGTAATACCTACTTTTTACTATTTTTTATAATTGCCTATACAAAAACCGTATCTCCATAATAGTATGGAGCCTGTCTTTGACCAGTCTGATTCAAATATATGACTTGTATAACGAATTCCTTTATTGTATCACGTTTCCGTCTCGTTGTAATCCCTTGGGTTGTTATAGGGAATGAGTCCGGGATGTTATTAAAAACACAATCCAGACCCTTATTGAAATGTATATCCGTGACTGGTGTAGATTGCTTCCTTCCTTATTATTCAGAATGGATTTAGACTCCTACTCAAGATAATATAAGATCTGAGTCAATAAAGTATTAGTAAGTCAATAGATTTATTTATTAGTACAAATATTTTTTGCGGTGTCTGTGTAGCGGTATGCCGCATGCTGCAGATTTATTCCTACAGCGGCATAAAATCTAAATATTTTCCAAGTTGTTAGTGTCAATAGAGTTGTTTTCTCGGTGAACAATAAATCTAAATGTAACTACTTCATTATATTCTTACAATTTTAAATCCCTTATTCACACGACAACACAAAACACAACACAAGCGTTTTTTAATGAATGTATTATTAATTAAACTACGCTTGCGTTAATAATGCATCCATTATAATACCACATAAGCAAAACAATTGAATTTTTATTCAAATGCAACTAAAGAAACAGCTTATTATACAGTTCTATTTTGTAAACTGTTCACAGTATCTGAATATCGGCCTCCAAATGCACTCCATAGTTATTGTTAGGAGATCAGAGCTTTGCTGCATGTTCAACATATTTGAAATAATTACGCACTGTTTCTGTCTATTCATGGGAGTATCAATTATTGTTCCTTGTATTATCCATGTGTAGAGCTTCAGTATGATACTATGGAGTACCTATTATGACTAACACACCTCACATACCTATGTTTACAAATAAAAATATTCTGATTCTGATTCTGATTCTGATTCTAAAAATATAGATAAAAAATTCATGTTCTAATCCTGTTTGGCGTACTAGATACAGTTGGGTCAGATCAATTTGCATGCAAACCATTGCAAAGAAAAAATGACAAAACTAATTTTTTCCCATGTATAAGGTAACCAACAAATTTATTCAAAAACCTTACTTATAACCCACAAACCGGCTAACCTAGTGCAAACAATAGCACTCGAATTACCGACTGACAGCATCGGATTTCCCGTGTGTCTGCATATTGTTGAAACAGCAATGTAGCAATGTAGATACTCCTACGTGATTTTCATTCCATGTTATAACAATAATACATCGCTTCGTCCACAGGGAATATATTTGCAACATACTTCTAGAAAGACGCTCTTATTGTGTTTGTAGATAAATATGATCTACTACATACGAGGGTTATTCAATTTGTATTCCTACAATAGAATGCTACTGCATCCGAACACACTAATTTAGTACGTATTGTGAACGTGATTTTGTATATACGCAGCATTGTTTGCGCAGTTTGATTGGCTCTTGTATTACAATTGTATATTCAAGTTCAATGGCTTGGATATTGTTTATTTTTTCAATTTATTGAATTTGTTGGGTTTCGTAGATGAGCAACGGTATTTGATTTGTCAAAATAAGAAGGAACTTCCTTTATTACGACCCTTTCAATTTAACTGTATGTTATAGTTAGTAATTATTATGTACTTCATACCTGGGAGTAAAAAAATTGAATTGCTCAGAAACTTGTTTGATATATGAACTGCACCCTTGACATGATATGTGTGAACCTACCAGTCATCTAGCCAGTGCCATATAGCAACACTCTTATTTTACGTCATAATATCGTCATCTATAGTATATTTATTGTACATACTACTTGTAACCGTTAAAGTCCTTTTACCCTTTTAGAACCAAAAGAGTTCTAATTACAATAATTTCTTTCAGGCCTTTGTACCTACCTAATTAAAGTTCGGATCAATAGGTTAGTGCCCTACCCAACGTTGTGGGGTTTAATTGTTAAAGTCTGGCTAACTAAACTAAGTAAAGTAAGTTATCTAGTAAACCATTATTGGGACTATTAAATTACCGCCTCCAATTAGAACTTATTATAAACAAAATGGTAATAGAATTTTAACCGTTTGACTAAATTGTACTGGTTTATCTATGTGGATATAAAGGCTATTACACTGGTCCACAAGTATTTTGTAACAGCGAAACTAAGATTTTTTAATAGAACTAAACAAGATCTTATTCTTCAAAGAAAGTATATTTCTATCACGTCTAGATTTTGTGGAATCTGCTGACAAATTCCTAAAAAAATAAAATTTTTTGCTTATTCCGTGACTTTGACCGTGGGAAAAAAATCCGTGGGAAAAAAATCGTTTAATAAATACGATATACATAGTACAAATATAGTACAAACCATATTCTCTTCATATCATTTTAAATTGATTCTCTAGAATATCTCATCACTGAGTTATGCAAACAAACTGCCCTATATCTCAGCTATGGTGAATGTTAAAGCGTTAATGCAAAGTTTTATAAAAATATCAAACTTGTAACGATTTAATTAATTTGTTAAAAATACAGTAAATGGAATAGTAATTTTATATAAAGCAATAAAATGATTAACTTTGTTAACAGATTACATAAAATCTAGACGTTATAGACATACACTTTTTTCAAAGATTGTGCTTACTATGCATAGTTCTATGACAAAAATGCAATGTTTCAGCTGTAATTAAAAAAATGAATTTTCAGTATTATTGAAAGATTTTTTGTTCGATTTTCATTTTGAACAAAGCGAGAAAATGTATGTACGTCTAACTTGAGATTTTATCCGAGTGTGTGGAAATTAGGTCGCTTCATATTAGATGGAGTCAGCAAAGACATTGTCGTTAAATTTTCGACCTTACATCAAAACAATAAAGTAGAAAATCCAATAAAAGTCTCCAGAGAGGAGTACAAACAGTCAACAAAGTGGTAATTAAAGTTGACTTACACTGATCTCAGCGCCGGTGACGTTATAAAGTTCGAAGGGAGGATCCCTCCCTCTAACGAACTTCATGATGCGTTGACCGTTCTTGAAGAACACCACCTGCAAGGAACGTTACCAAAGTTTAGCTTTCATTTATTTACTTTTTACTTAAAGTTGAAGTTATTTTCTTAGGTCCTTTGTGAACTGTAGGTATTATTCTCGTCATAGTAATGTTTGAGTTTGGTTACAAAGTTTCTTATATGAGTGTAACGTACGTAAGCTCTTTTTTTTGAGGGGGTGAAATAATGCAATGTCTTCTCCTATCTCGGGTAAGGCGAGAGAGTGTTATACTCTTACTGAATGAGGACTGCTGGAGCCGGGCCCTGCTAACCCTATAGGTTGATCGATAAAGATTTAAACCACAAGTGTATCAAAACCAACCACAAAGGAAGGACAGTTTATTTATTCAGGCACCACCAGACTGTGGGGACTAAACAATCAAAGCACGACAATTCACGTCTCAGTTTGTATGTTTTTAATCAATATCCCGAAGAGAATGGGCACTGGGATACCCTCGTAAAACTGGATCGTATTAATTCCAAGAACTTCGGTCTCTCGGCTAATAACAATCGATTGCAGTACGTCTCTATGTGCGTAGTACATGCGAATTTCCTCATTAGTGCGTTAGGAATAATGAAGTTTATCGTGTGCTGCGAATTTGTACCGAAAGTGTCCCTGGATTTTTCTATTAAGGATTTGTTTGTTGGGGATTATAGAGTTGGGTAGTTAGGATTTAGTGGTATGCCCAAGGAATAATATTAGTGTAGAGCTTATTAAGATATTACTATTCAAGCCTTTTATTGGATCGAACTATAATATATTATTCCTTTAAAAAAATATGTGGATTATTATTGATTTATTCTTATAAACCTTTGTGGTTTATGCAATGCAATAAAAACTCATTATATACTAATAATTGTTTTAAATATTGCTTCACTAACTGGCCATTAAGATTTTACTATTTTCTATCAACACTCAATAGGTTTCCAAACTTCAAACTTCGAATTTCAAATACGTTTTCGAATTCGGAATTCGCATACGCAAATCCGCCTTGAACAATCCGGTCTAGGCCGATTTAACGTATGTAGTGTTAGTGCATTCTGTGTTCTCTACTATCAGAAACATTAGGGCTGCTTTAGTATTATCATTTACATATTTATTTTATTAAAAGGATAAGCGACCAATTGAATCACCCAAAAAATCATGCATTATCATCATCATTCTCACACGGAGAAGGTTTGAGCAGTAATCACCACGCTTGCTCAATGCGGGTTGGCGGTTTAAAACTTATAATTAGAAATTATAAGCCCAGGTTTCCTCACGATGTTTTCCTTCACTGTTTGTCAGTGATATTTAAATAATCTTAAAAAGTGCAATATAACTTGGGAAAGTCACATTGTTACTTATCGTTGGTAGATTTCGAACTCGCACCCTAATTCATGAGAAGCAAGCGTTTTAAACCTCCGGGCCACCACAACTACAAAACGAACGACCACGAAAAACAAGAATAGTTTTGAATATCGTGGTATCTGAGCAGTACTAAGCATTTTGAAATCAATAGTAGTACTTAAAACAGAAGGTTGTAAAATACGTAACCATCGGTTGGTTGCATATGCAATCGATTACTTGACTAACGAGGTTGTAAAAAATGTCATTAGTAACTTGAAATATGGATGTATGCTTGTTATAACGGTACATAATGAGCTCTGTTTCAGCCGGTCAATCTCAAAGCTTAAATCAAAGCTAATATAAAACGAATCGTAGATAAGTACATAACTTTTGTTATTACAATGACTATTAATTAATGATAGAATTATATTGTTACTGACAAACTTAAATATTCGGCTTAGGTATAGGGACATTCACTGTATGTATGACATACAGCCAAAGATGTCAATACAATTTTAATCCAATAAAATCTCAAAAATTATTCAATGTCAAAACTATACAACCCCTAATGTAGCTGTTAAAATAGCATTCAGAGTACGGAATATAGAGCCAATCTCAGTACCATTTAGATCATTAAATATCCACGCAATACGGATGCAATGGACGCTAGTGTGGCACCTCAAGAATACGAATTTTCACAATACCAATGTCGATCGATCGGAATTGGATTCAAGAGTAAAGCCCCTGTTTATTAGTTTCAATTAGTCGACATCAAAAATGTAACAACGTCCTGTACACACTTATTGAAACGCCCCAATTGAATGCTCCAATTGAAGTATTGATTGTATTTTTGAAAATTTTAAAAGTTTGTAATCTATATGAGATAGAATAAAAGAAAAGCTCTATTATTATATTATTAATACCTATTTTAATAGAGGAAAGGGTAGCCCTAACTCAAACATAGAAAGTAATTTCCATTGTTCGAAGGTTACAAAGACAACCTCGACAACTTTGTTCCTAGATTTTGTTGAATGTTATCTGTTAGTAGACGAAAGGCCATGTTTTAATTAATGAGATTATATTCAAAATGTTCAAGGTGACGGAATTGCGTGCCTTTTGGTATGAATACTGTTGGATAACAATACAAAACGAATAAAATATTTTCGAATCAAACTAGCGATTATAGGAATTCAGTAATTTGTGTTAAAATTATTTTAGTGATGAAAGGCTTGTAGTGGTGAAAGGTATGAGAGTATTTAGCATATTTTTTTTAGGATAGTTAAAAAAAACTGAAAAACAAGCGAATTGTGTGTGTATTTTCTTCAAAATACAACATACCTAGCTGGCATATCCCAAAAGCAATTTTAGAACTGTCGGTAGTATTTTTAATAGGCTTTTTAATATTTGTAAACTAATTTTCAAATCCCAAACCCCCAAAAAGCCAGTGACGCACTTGTAACACATCTGGTGGCGCCGATTGCTTCCCATCTGGGGGCTTACTCTTGAATCCAATTCCGATCGATTGACATTGACATTGTGAAATTTCGTACTCTTGAGTTGCAACACTAGCACCAATTGCATCCGTATTGCATGGATTTTTTATGAACTAAATAGTATTGAGTTTGGCTATATATTCCGTACTCTGAATACTATTTTAACAGCTACGATAGGGGTTGTATAGTTTTGACATTGGATAATTATTGAGATCTTATTGGATTGATATTGCATTGACATTGAGATTGGTTTCAAGAGTAAGCACCCAGGTCATCCATTTACTCGTTTGCCGGTCTATTTCATAAAAATAACCATTGGTAGCTTAAAATTTAGACATGGTCGTATTATCAAGAGTCTTCGTAACTTATCAGCACCAAAATGGTCAGGTACCTACCTAATTGCTTATTATACATTTAGCATTCCTTATTTCTAATTCTCTGAGACAATTTCTACAAACGAGTACTAAAGTACCCATACACTTTATATTGTCTACAGACTCAACTGTACACACATGTAGACGAAAATGTAAGCAGCTTTCGCTCTAGTTTAAAGACACAACCATTTAGGAGGTTCTATTTAAACCCCTTACTTACATTGTCGAAATAGAATTAGTTTGTGTTACTCCACTCTTAAGCAGCCTTAAGTAGAGTATTTTAATCTGAGTATATAATCGAAATTATTTTGGAGTAAGTTAAATAGATAGTTGTGCAATGTTGGAAAGCTTTTACTGGTATTGGGTAGACTATGATAACTGCAATTTAAAAGTTTTTCTATAGTAGAAAACGGTTGAAGTAAATAATAATTGGTAAATCTTGTTAGAGTGATAATTATGAAAGAAAATTGGAGTTTGTCTTTAAACGATTAAATGAAGTTTCTGATAGGAAAGAGTGTAGCTATACTAATACCAAAATAACTAAAGAGTAATTTTGGTAGTAAGAACAAGTAAAAGAGATCTTGAAATAGAAATAAAATACTAAGAACAAACCAAAGAATTGAATCATCTTTAGACCAAAGTTAGTGTAATTTGAAAACAAAGATAAAGAACTTATACATATAGGTACTTTAGCTTACTTTGTGACAATTCTAAATACAAATAATATAAAACCAAACACTATTCGTAATAAATAAATACTTATTATAATACAATATTTTACCTTATATAGTGATTCAGGATCAACATTGTGTTCGCAGCGCAGCTTGGCATTGTGGCGGTGCACCACAAAACGTGGCGCATTCAGCTCCACCCACACCTCAGACATGCCTGCCACTGTTAACAATGAAAATTATAATTAATTTCATTATACATTTGGTTCAGAATTAATGTAGGTATATACATTATTAACTCTTTGAGTACCGTCATTATAGACACAATTAAAGAACAATAGGTTGCGGTCACCGGTGTTCTCGCGGTGTTTGACAGTTTAAACCTAACAAATTCTAATTGGTAGATGTATTGAACAAAACACGATTATTGAAACTTACAGCATCTGTTTAAAGTTAAATCGAACGACTTTTAGATTTTTATTCTTGGAGGTTTAGATATTATTAATACGTTATTCCCAAGTTACGTTATATTAATCATTTTGTCAATGATGCATTTAAAATGAAGCTTATACTAAGGGCCAATTTTCCAAGGCTCAGATAAATTTTAACTGATAAATCACTTTAAATATTTGACAATTCTTCCATACTAAAAACTATCAAATGCCAATTTTATTCCACTGTTAAGCCGTAACCCGTACCGTCATTATAGACACAATTAACTCGTCGAGTACCGGTTTTATAGACACAATTAAAGAACAATAGGTCGCGGTCACCGGTGACCGCTTGGTGTTTGACAGATTAAAGAACAATAGGTTGCGGTCACCGGTGGCCTCGCGGTGTTTGATAGTTTAATGTACGTAAATAGGTAGATATGTATAATACTTATATAAATAACAGACAGATGAGACTTTTACATCGCTTGACTTTTGAAATATATTAATTTGGTAAAATCTTACTTGTAATAAAATTGTATAATGCAATAAACACAATAAACGTATTATAATCAACCCAACATTACCACGTGCCAAATAATCTCTATTAACTTTGATAATAGACCAAAACAAGATAGACACGACTTACAAATAGCTATATTATCTTCTACTTTCCTCGTAAAAGCTTTCTGCTTATATAATAACAACACAAGGCTTTGTCCATTGTCCAGAAATTATTTTTGCCAAATCTTTTACCAACAAATGTTATGATACCTATTAAAACTAATGATGTGAGTACGTAGTTATGTAAATAACATGACGTAATATTTGTGTATAATATCGTAAAAAATATTAATATTGAACATATAAGATATACTTATTCTACTACAAACAATCTATATTAAAATACAATAGTTTGTATGTCTGTGTGTTTGTTTGTTACTTCTTTATGTCAAAACGGCTGAAGGGATCAGAATGAAATTTGGAACAGGGATAGATTATGATCTGGAATAACACATAGGTTACTTTTTATCCCAAGAGAACGCGTGTGGCGAAAGCAAGTAATAAATAAATTTTATTGTAATGGGGATGAGGGTATAGCAAAACACCAAAACAATCATACCTTGGTAACAATAATATACTTATATTGAAATACCTTATAGCTAATCCGATTAATTTAAAATCATTTGCTCGGCACTAATGACTTTGCAACTATTTCAGCATACATACGTTAAGTTAACCTGCTTACTTCATGAAGCTAGATAGGTGCATCAAAATATTTTCTCAGAAAATGTAAGCACTGAACAAACAAGAGAATGAGGTTCTTTCTCTCTTGAGATAACGAGACATGAAAGTTAAGATCACGGCACATGGTGATAGTTATGTTTACTGGTGTAATTTTTCGTAAGTATTAGTGAATATGATAATATTGTTTGATTTTGGCGTAGGTACTCTATGAATATAACCTAGACTACGTTACGCATTAATTCGATAGGTTTGTGGCTACCGTTAAACAATAGGATCAATTTAAGGTAGGGCACAATTACTACGAATTTTTAATACTGACAAACAATATTGACTTGATATATAAAATACAAATTCAGACTCTGCGCATCTATGGAAGAGTTTAATTATTAAAAATTCAAAAGCCTGGTCACGTCAGCGATGATACAGTTGGTATAGCGTTGTTAAGTACACGAAGTAAAATTAGATACCTAGCCTGCTAAAAAATAAAAGCCTGACACACAATATTAAAATAAAGGTAATACATGAGCAACGAACAACGTTCCTAATAAAAATCCTTTCTTTCCAGCGATCATAAACTGTGTACAAAAGAACGTCTTTAAAACTTTTGTTCCTAAAGGTAGTATGTGACAGGCTTTAGAGTTAGGCTCGACTTTATGATGATCACTTTCCCGTGCCAGCCTACCGTCGCTAAATGACGCTATATTTCACGTCGCCCCCCGAGATCGGGAGCAGTAAAACCGGTGTAAATTTAATCTCTATCTAAATTTCAACCTCTGCTAATCACGATTTTCGTAGGATTGAAGATTATTTCGAAGGTAATTCTCGTTTAGCAGTTAATGTATTGATTAGTTGGTGTTTACTGTTCCAGTAGTAAGTTGCTGTTGAGATTTATTATGTTCGAAAGTGAAGTGATTGGTTGAAGAGTTGAAATTAAGGTATTTTATTTAATTGTTTGATCTGACTGACTGATTGACTTTAGATGAGGTACCTACTGGCATAAGACCTTAGAGTATTTAAACAACCCCCGGACTATAGTCGGCAAACGTGTGATAGCGTAGAAGAAAAATCCTTTGCTGACAAATTTTAGCCGCTTTGAACTACCCACTCGTGAATGGTGAGTGATGGGTGGGATGGGATACTCTAAGCATAAGACGGACTGAGATAATTATGAAACCTAACTAATAAGGTTGCATAAGAATCTTAAATACACAAAAAACTTCTAATTTACGAAATCAATTTCTAGTCGTTACAATAACAGAAAAAGACAGTGGAAATAAATATATCATAACTCTAAGCTATTAAAGCGTAGAAAAAACCTTTAACAAAAACTGGTTGGTAGCAGATGGCAGACAGTGGAAGGAAAATTACTTTATCGGATACATTTGTTATACAAGAGATCAGTATTTGTTTTTTCTAGGAATTTTATCCTTATTGATAGAGGTACTACTAAATCGCTATTATGATTGTTTTGTCAACGTGCTTCTGCGCTCAACATTAAAATTGATTTTATTTATTTAAGTTGTTCGATAGACTACACTTTGTACAAATGGAAGACTGAAAAGGGCTAGCCCTTTCAAAAGCACGAGGTTTTGGAATCGATATCAATTTTATGAAAACTTATATGAATAATATTTATATTTTAGTAAATAATTAAAAATATATGTTGATACGTAGGTACTGAGTTGTTATATTTATCATTCCATATATTTATTTAAAATTCTCTATAAATTACATTTTTAAATACTACATAAAAAATAAAAAATGATATTTAAAAATATAAAAAAATAGGAGCCGACCAGTAGCGGGAGCATGGTCCAAGCTATCGGTGGTTAGGGCTCCAGAGACAGAAACCTCCTCACGATACGTAGGCCCTTGATCCATCCACCTAACGCCAATCTCCTGAGATGGATGTCGAGGGTTTTAGGGATTAACCCATTTTTATATTTATCATATTATTATCGATTTCATATCCAAAGCGGTCTATAAAGACATCTGCTAGAAATCTTCAATACGAAAACAAAACAAATAAACAACATTATAATTTCGTGCCGCAAATATTACGAAAATAAAGAAAATAATAAACACGACAGAACTTAATGGAATGAACAAACTAAAATACGTAAAGCTGCGGATATACTGAGGGAGGATAAAGGATAGGCGAAAATATTGAAAAAGAAAAGGGTTTTATTTTTGAACTTTCTTTCATATCGAGTTGCTAATAAAAACAATTATTACCATTTATTAGTAGAAAGTCAATAATTACCTAATGCGTTGGTTAAAATGTACCTTCTATTTCTAAAATTTAACAATTACACTTTTTATTTGATACATATGAACGTTTACAGATTTTTGAACGATTACAAATAAATATATAAACTTTTCACGCAAACGTTGTTTTAAAACGTGGAAATTTTTATCTATAATTATCAGATTCTATGAAACACTGAAAGAAAAATGCGCAACAACACTTTTTCGTCTGTATGTCCACAGCCCAATGTTTTGAGAATCGTGTTGTGAGCACGGAGCGTGCCCTGTGACGCCATTATTCATAATCAATCAGCAGCAAAAATATTAGAAAGACTCATTAAGCCTACAAGTATCTGTAATTACAATTATTTATTAGCAAGTTGTAAGTTCACGGCATTATTTACTAGATTATTATGTGTGAAAACATGCTATTTCAATTTTTTCTTAACAAGAAGAAAACTATAAGAAATTTATGTTGGTCCTCTTTTTAATGGTTTACGGTGACGGTGAATTACTAATCGTTCCTTTCAGAAAAAAATACACTTTGCCAAAACTATCATGTCCGTCTATCGTATGTCTGAGGATTTGAGCTAGAAATTTAGCTCTCTTGCCCAACAAAGAATTTCCTCCAGAATCCTTGGAACATAAAATTTTTGGCAGCAACAATATTGTATAACTGCCTTTCATTCTACATTAGTGCCATCTGCTGAACACTAAAACGATAGTCCTGATTAGGCAAAGTAATAACCCATTAAGTAGGTACGTCATGAAAAATAAAATTCCTGTTTTCGCTTAACAAAAATACCCATGGTGTTACGAAGTTACGATCCATTTTCACATTTACCATAGCTACTCATAATAAATAATGCAAAAACGAATGAGTACAGAATCAAAAATTTCCAAGACATGTGACGTACGCACTGGGCCCGAGTGATGGATTACATTTCATAACCTCGCAGAGAACTGACTTTGAATCTCAGTTGGGGTAATGTTATGATTACAGAAATGAGAAGATTTTTCATGTACAGGAAAATCTTATATTTTAAGGGGTCAGTCATTTTTCATTATGTAGGAGATTGCTAAAATTGTAATATTGGATTTTGTTGTATCAAAGTATCTATATAAAGTTTAGTATTTTATGTTTATATTTAAAGTGTACCTATTATTGCGCATGATTATAAGGAACAAGTAATACGGCTGGTACACGTAATTTTATAATGTTTAATGGACCAAATTAGTTGAAATCGTCAGAACTACTAAAAAGATAATTCAATCATGATTTTTCCAACAGAAATAGAAACTCATAGATTTTCACAAATTATATTATCAATGCAAATTG